TGTTGTTCCCGTCAGCACGCTAGAGTATTGGAGTCTTTGCACACAGAAAGCTTCCTTTTGCACAGAATGAGCTTCTAGCTTTTGTACAGACTAATTGAATGTATTTGGGGAGGGGGGGAAATAGGGAGTAAACCAATTCCAAACAAACCAATCAGAGTATAATGCCTTTTCTGAGCAAGTATGTGCTGTAAAAGGAGATTGTAATAGCAAAGGGAGGGCAGGCTCAAGTATAATTTGACACAAAGTGTGGTTTTATTTTTGTACTGATATGGATAAGAGACTGTACAGCATCTATTTATTTAGATGATTTATGTGGTAAATGTTGCAAACAAAATTATTAAAATATTAAATATGAGAACTGACATTTACCTCATGGTATGTTTGTGTGGTCATTTACCCCCCCTTGCTTTAATTCTATAGCTAAATTGTTTTCCAACAGTCACAACTATTGGTGTATAAACATGCAGTGCAGCTGGAAAAAGAATGGAAAACATGCCTGTGTGCATGAGGAAGATCAGTAAAGAAGGATTGATGAAGAATGGAGCCTGCAAAAGGCTGCTTCTGACATTACTCGTTCATTTGATTGGAGGAGGTCAAGTTTTTATTAATTTTTAACCCACTGGGTAAGTTAGAACTGTCCAGGGGTGACCTGGGATGATTGGTCTTTGATGGGTTATAATTTGAAGAGGAGAACACTGATGGCAGGGTGGCTGTTGCTGTGGGTTTAGGGAGTTCTCTACATCCTAGCATGAGGCTGCAGTGCCAGGACAGCTCTGCCAGCACCAGGAGAGTGCTGGTGTGCCCCATATCCCGCATCTCATTGGAATGGAGAAGGTCTGAGGTGAGGCCTGGGTTGCCAAGCATGCTCTGCAGTGCTTGCTAGCAGGACAGAAGTTCTCCTCCAAGCCAAAGCCTCCAATGGTTTGGCCAGCAAGGCTTCCAGGGACCTCCTTAGGAGCACAGCTGCTCCTGGGTACAGTTTGGCCCCTGGTTCACCCCAGGATTTAGCTAAGGAGCTTGAGTCCTGGAACTGCTGATACTCCACGGAGGAAATCCCAAATGTTATTTAGCTTACTTGGGTGCCTGGCTTGCTCCTTCAAGGTGTGTCCCACTCCATCCCCTGTGGAGGGGGAAGCCAGGTGTTTATCAAGGTACCTGGCCAAGAGAATGGAGCTGTCTGAGATACCTCTAGTAGATGTAATGTGAGGGTGAGCCCTGCACCTGAATGCAGCTGTGGCATCAATCACAAGAGCAAGTGGAGCAAAAGCAGAGAGGGGGATGGGGTGCGTTTCCTGAGTCAGTCCTGGCTTAAGGCAGCGAGGTTAGGTCTTGCCTGTGTTACCAAAGGGCCATCAGCATGCTTGCCTTGAGCCAGGGAAGCTGGAGTTGAGTGATGGCATCAGAGCAGGACTCCAGCCAGCCACTTACTTTCTGGCAGCAGCTAGCGGGTCAGGTGAAGCTGTAAGAAACTGCAGTGCAGAGTTACGGGAAAGCCTGCTCTGGAGATTGTGTCTTCTTCCTACCTCTGCCAAAGCTGCAGAGGCTGGCTGGTACTAGAAACAGCTTGTCCTTTTGCATGCATGTGTTGGCTGGATTAAAGGTTAATCTGGGCAGTCCTTTTTCTAATAATCTGTTGCTATGCTGCCCCTCTGTTCCTTGCAGTGCAGCCGACTTTCCTTGCACAGCTCTCCCCGTTGGATGCCTGAGAACAAGGGCACTTGGCAAAAGGGGAAACCACAAGCAGTTCGATGTTCTCTGAGCAGCAGAAAGTGAAATGCAGCCTGTGTGACCCCTGTGATGGCAGTCACTTCCTGTCTGTTCAGTGCCACACAGCTTCCCTGCTCTTCACAGCATTTTGCTTCCCGAGCAACTGCTTTTGAAACAAGAATGAAGAAATCTGGGGGACTTTTGTAATCATCCTGAGCCAGCGACAGCCTGGGCAGCTGGGCCTGCTTTGGGAACTCCTAGGCAGGCCCCAGGGATGTCACAGCACCCCACTGGTGTAGGCACAGCACAAACCCCATGGGCCTTCTCTCTCTGCCGCATCAAAAAGTTACTGGGCTGGAGGGCTGGTTGTTGTGGCCACTGCCTGGGCCATGCTGAGCCAGCATAGCTGCTGTGCAGGGTCAGCTCCAGGGGACCTGCCTTTGCTTGTGTGTGCTTCAGAGCTGCAGCAGGGAAATCCCAGCACACATTCACCTGGATGCCCACAGTGCCAAGGGTTTGCTTGGAAATGTACACGGCATTGGCTTGAGGGGCTGGGCTGTGTGCAGCTCTTCCTGGCGTAGGTGAGGGACTGACCATGTGCTTTCCAAAATCTGCTGCTCCTAACAGTGATCTCGCTGGAGTGAAGAGCAGCAGAGTCAGTTGATGAACCCTTGGAGCTTTTCTCCTGGAGACGGGTGCTGCTACTCCTGCCAGGTCCACAAAAAATGATCTTGGAGGCAGCTACTGACTTTGAGCAGGTGAGTTGCCATTATTAAGTGTCATTTCAAAAAGACATAAAAATTCTCTCGCACCTGCTGCTGTCCCCCGTGCCCCTACACGGCTGATCAGGGGTTTTGATGTGAAAGGTCTTGTTGCTCTCCTAAAGCTTATTGCTTCCAGGCACTGACTTCCTAGTAAGAAGTGCTACAGTGTTTTGCAGGCAGTGAGTTGCAAGAAAAATATTTTATTTCAGTGTCTGTAGTGAACAATAGGTTGTTCACTTCCCAGGTGGGTTGGGATTTTTTTAAAGTGTTTTACTGGAAATGTGAATGAAACAAAGGAAATGCCCAACAATGCCCTGAACAGCTGGATATTCTGCTACTATTTTGCTTTGTGAGAGTACAAGGCAGATGAAAGTGTTAGGCCATACCTGTGCAATGGCAGCTCACAGGGATTTGAGCAGTGGCTGTGGCTGGAAAGAAGGTTCTGCTGACAGGTGGAAAGAGAAAATAACTAGAAAGAGCACATGGAGCTCTCTGAAAAAGCTGCTGCCCCTTCTGGTCCATGGATCACCGTGCCTCTTGCTCCTGTCCTGAGGCAGGCTGTGCTATTTGTGACCCACACATCTGTTTTGGGACAAGGCCACCAGTCTTGGTTGCTGCACATGTGTTTGTGTAGCCATGTAAAGACTTTTCTCCCTTTTGGTTTAAGGGTGCCTGCTTTTGAGGGTGGATGATGCTGCTGGTTGAAAGGTCAGTTGCTTGACACTCAGCAACAAATGTAAAAGCAGTAGTTTAAACAAAGTGAACACTAACAAACGCTAATTTAAACATGGATGGTGCTAATGGACGCTTAATGTGCAAAGTTAAAAAAACGAAAAGCAAAATGCAGTGAGTGTGATGGACTTACTCTTTTGGAGTCAGCTTTAAGCATATGAAGAACTGAGATTAAAAGAAGGTGGTGTCTAGAGAAAAAGGGCAGTCCAGAAGGACTTGACCCACTCTAGGTGAGAGTCTTGGACTTTTGTTCTTGCCTGGCCTGTGATGACAAACACCTGAGAAAGGGCCTCTTAGAGCCTGTTCTCGAAGGGAGGGCTATGACCTAAATGCAGAATTATCAGTGATGAAGCACGCTGTGTTTCAGCCCCTGACCACAGAAACACCGAATTGGTCACATGTCCTGAACTGGGGTCTGTGTGACTGTCTCCATCAGCATCCAGCAACCTCTCCAATAACCCCACTTCAAATGGGGACATGGCAGTGGGGAGCACATCCTCTCCTGAGTCACTTTTCCTCCAGGCAGAGAGCTTGTGTTGGCTGCAGTATTTCAGCTGCTAGGGTGAAAAAGAAAAAACCACTCTGACAGATCTTGCTTGAATCACAGGCGGTGAGGAAAACATTCATTTTTGAATGTTACCTGCCTGCCTTGACTTTGAGAAATCCATCCTTACTAGAACTGATATTATAGCCATAATATAGCCATTTCCAGAATTCCCTCCTTCTAGGTGAAACCCCTGAGCAAGAGGTGGAAAGGGAATGTGAGTGCAAACGTAGAAAGGGTTAGCGAGGGCCACAGGGGCTGTGAGGGGTCCTGCCAGCCCTGCTGAGCAGCAGGTAGCAGAGGGATTCCGGTGCTCTGCAGGCACCTGGCTGGTCACGGTGCGTTTAGAAGGAGCAGCAAATGCAGGACAACCATTCCCTCTGGCCCTCATCACAGCTCCCACTTTCTCCAGAGGGTGTCTGAACCGCACAGCCTCCTCACCCAAAACCCAGGTGAGAAAGCAGAAAGGGCCAGACGAGGTCCCCCAGGTAAGGGTGGACCCTGCGTTCCACACAAACACCTGCAGGGCTGTGGGCTTCCACTCTGAATCACACAGAACGATTTTTGACTGAGATTTTTGTCTTTTTAGCACACGCAAGAGTGTCAAGTATGCTGCAAATTACTCGGGGTTTGCAGTAACAGTCAGGGCAGGGAATTCCTCTAAGTGACTTAACATTTTTCTGGTTTCCTTACAGGTTTATGTAGCGTGGTTGGCCCATTTACCTCGCAGTACCTTACACTGGCTCAAAAATTGTGCCTTATAGCGGCACACGCTCACACCGGCTAAACGGAATAAAACACAGAAAAAGGAAAGAAAATATTGAAGCGCCTTTACGGCAAGTTTTTGCCTTGGTACGTGCTTCAAGGCTGCCTGCTTCCTCGCTGGCGAGAGGCGGTGACGGTGCCTCTGCAGCGGGAGAAGAAGAGGCTGCCGCCATTGTTTTAATAAAAATAAAAAAAAAAAAAAGGCCTCGAACGGGCGGGAAGGGGCAATACCGCCGCCATGCCGGGGATGTGCCCGGCGGGATTCTCTTCCCTTCCCTTCGCCTGGCTCCTCTCCGCGCTGCACGGCCGCCCCACAAGCCCAGACCTCCAAGCCCCCGCCCGCCCGAGGCGCGGCCCCTTTAAGAGCCCTTAAGCACGGGGGGGGGCGGGTCACGCGCGGCCGCGGCGGGAGGGGGCG